TTTCACACACACACACACACAAACATCGCACACACAAACACACACACACCAACACACTTACACCGCGCACGTGTGCGGCTGCAACTACACCGCACTGCGACCGCGGCACCTAGAACACTGCCACATACGCGTCCCTTGCTCACGTGGAACTGCCTGCTTTCGGGATAATCGGTGTCTAGTTGTTGCCAGTCTCTGGTTTTGAACGTTTGCTTGAAGTTGTCGCCATGCTAATTCCTTCTGCGGCGTAGAGGACATGGTGAAAGCGCGGGCCCGCAGCAAGCGAGATGGAGTCCAACCGCTGGGCATCTGGGCGTGGATTACCTCCTCATCTTCAGGGATGTCAGAACAATGTTAGTGGAAAGAAGAAGCACAAGGTCAGCTCTTCAAGCTTTCAGAGATGTTAGTGCGTTCAATCATGCTTTGGCTTCAGCAGTTTGAGTGTGCAGGCTTCTCTCTGCATTTTGGGCTACTGGACTGACAGCCTTCCATTATTCTCTTGTCAGACTTTGCATGCGCGCTTGCAGGTGGCATACAGAGGTGTCAGTATTCGGGTTGCGAGGGTTGCTACAGGCAGCAGGATTCCTCGAGACGCCAAGCAGTGTTGTAATGCAGTCCGCATGTTGCGTGTGGAACTGCGGCGAGTAGCACGGTGCTTAGGCAAGCCAAACGAAGGGCATTCCCTGTTCTCGTCACAGCGGGCAGCGCAGGAGTCAGACCACTCTACAGCCTCCATTTTCCGCTGATGATGCATGAGGGCGTGCGGGATGTGCGGCACTTGCCAACCTTCAAGTAGCACCTAGGGACACTTCATAAGTGGCGCGCCTGCAGGAGTCCTATGACAGCGATGAGGAAGGCTTGAACCTGGACCCGCGGCACCAACAGTTACAAAGCCCTAAGGTACTGGTACTGTTGATGCTGCCAGCTCATGTATTAAAATGGAGCCCGGAGCTTGTATTCGTTGTGGTTGCGGAGATGGAGCGTGAAATATGTTGCATGCCATTCTGCAGGACTCTGATGATGATGAAAGCTGCCTGCCTCACAGTGTGGTTCCCACACGCACAACATCCAAAAAGGACATCGTCAGAAACGACTCCTGACGGCATTTGCATGCTTTGCTTTAACGCGCTTGTCACAGGGTTCTGTTGTCATTACATGCAGTAAAGGCCTGGAATGGCACCATCCCCTAAAACGACCCAGCTTCCAATTGCATGCACTTCTGCGGGTGTTATTGCACGCATGGTTTGACACTATCATTGACATGTCTCATGTTGGTTTGATCCACCATGTCAGGATCGCGCGTTGCCGTGTGCTAGCCGCTTGGCGAACAGAGGCGCAAGCTGTAAAGGATGCAGGGTACCAGGGTAGGGTGTCGATATAAACAAGGTTGAGCCTACGCCAAAACAACATGCCGCCTGCCAGAGCTTGTGTGCGGTGCAGGGCGGGTAGCTGTGATGGTGGCGGCGGGTGGCGGTGGCAGTGGCAATGGCGGTGACGAGTGGCCGTGGCAGGGCAGGGCGGGGGCGGGGACGGCTATCAGCAAAGTTATGGCAGAATCCGGGAAAATGTGGCGGCGCACACCATGGAGTCATGAGTTGCACACAGCGTGATTCACGCAGAGCTTCGAACATTTTCGCACTTTGTAAAGATATGCTCTTCTGTGCCGCAGGTAGAGTTGCCCCGGCAACTGACTTCACTGCTGGTTTTGGGGTAGGGCGCAATGCACTGGACTAGGCATGAACTACGCAGTCAAATATCCGAAAGCTCGAGCAAGGACGATTTCTGTACTCATGAGCGAGCTGTTTCGACTCATCATAGCATGGGCTTGGTCCAGATGCGAATTGCAGCACGACCTCATTCTGTATGCCAAGTTTGCCTCCTGGTGCTTAGCAACCTCCACCTAGGCACGACAAGCAGGGTTAACTTGCTGTTTTGACTTCTGTGTACTGTGCTGCATTTGGACCTAGAGGTTGGAAAGGCTTTGCTGCCAGGAAGGCATTTTGATGATTTTTGGATACCCCTGCAAAAAAGGGAATCCAGGAATATCCAGGCCAAGTCCACCTGCGCTTGCGCTGTACGGCCGAAAGGGTGACTTGCCATCGGTTCTGGCATCGTAGCCTTCCGGGCCTCTGCTTGGAGAGCAAGGGCATGCTAGGTAGCGCCAGCTGGCATGACTGCGTTGCTAGATTGACAGGGCCACGCAATGATGGGCTGCAGACGTAATTAGTGAAATGTCAAGGTAAGGAACAGATGCAGCATTCAGAAATTCATGCAGCATCATGCAGCCCTGGGGTCAGCATGCCAGCATGCTCATTTTCAGCTTGGTTGTGGGTCAGAGCGACCTTCTCGCTTCCGGATTTAAGCCAGCCAACCCTCAGGATGTCGAGCAAATTCGTGCATGGGTCCCAGTATCCCTGAAGCTTCATTGTGCTTCGTGTGGGGTGAGAGCCAAGCTCAAGCTGTGGTTCTACGTCCTTTCCAGACGATCACAAGAGGTCACGGTACTGCGCACAAGGCGACTGGCAGAAGTGAGATGTTTAACGTGCGTGGTGGCGAGATTTCTGTGCCCGCTCCGGCTCGGCTGGACTGGAGCCCCGGCCGCGTTAGAGGCTTAGCGTCAAGCACAACATGCCTTTCCCAGTATCCCAAGAGTCTGGTATGTGCCGTCAGCACATTCTAACCCTGCCCGTGCATAAAGCTGGCCTGCCAGCCCCCATTTCAGTAGGACGTCTTCACATGCTTGCGCTGGGTGTGTACGAATGATGTTTTTGGGTGAAGGTCGACATGCACAACTGTGCCGGCTTGTGCTGGACACCAGGGGTCGAAGCAGTCAGCAGTACAAAAAAACTCGAGCCGCCATAAGTAATTATACTGGTCTTAGGAATTTTCATGTCATGCAAAACAGAAATGCCTGCAGATCTTAAGGAGGTCCTTCTGTGCTCAGTCGTGGTGGAAAAGATTGGTGGCTGGGCCGCAAACGCGATTGCTGTTTTGCGATTTGCTTCCTGTAGTCCAGATCATGTTTTGCTTGGATCTCTTTGAAAAATATCCTCAAATGTATTCAGAATCAGATTCATGTGGCTGAGGCTACCCTTTAGAGAAGCGCGCGCTAGGCTACAGAGTCACGTCATGATTACCTCAGGCATCGGAAGCGTGGCTGCAGAAGTCGCGGCACCTTGCACGCTGAGCCACCTCGCATCATGACAAGCTCTGGTCGCAAAAGCTTTTGATATCATTTGAATCAACTTGCAAGTACACTACACAGTCGGTGCGCTAATTGCAGTATGGGTAGTAATTGCACGGAAGCAGCTGCAAGCACTAATAAAGAAGTTTTAGGGAGCAGCAAGTGGTAAGCTGAATATGCTCCGGTCATGAAAGCATCTGTAAACATGATGTTCTTGCTACTTTCAATGGTTCTGTAGTTTGTATGTTCTCAAGCTCTTCTTGTCCCTAAGTTAACCCAAACTGGAACTCCACGGGTGCGCGCGAACCCAAACAGCATCATCAGCACAATCGGGACCCAGCTTGTGTAGACAGCCAAAGAGAAACTGTCGTAAACGTATTGAACATGGATTTAATATTTTGGCCCAGATGTCCCATGTTTGCAATTCAGAAGCAACATTTGAACCTATCTAGTAGGTCAAAGTGATGCAGGCAGGTCTGCTTGCATGCTCTTCATGCAGCGCAGGTGCAGGCATTTGTGTGTTCCTTGCCGTTATTTATCTACAGCCCCAAATACTGGCCGCAGCATGCATTTTGGGTGACTAAGCCAGCATCATGAGCATCATGGGGCCTGTCTGTGCACCCAATTTCCCTTATCTTGAATTCTCGAAGCGCAGGGGATGCAGGGAGGGGTTGGCAGCGGATGCGGTGTAGCGCGGGGGATTGCACTTGTGATTTGTTGGCGTGCATGAGGCACGTTCCACCACAGCCCTCTTTTGCTCAGGCTTATAAGCACCCACCACCGACTTTTGAGGGCATATCGTTCGCAGGGAAAGGGGCCCCTTAGTAGTAGTAGTAGTAGTAGTAGTAGTACAAGTAGTAGTAGTAGTAGTAGCAGCAGCAGCAGCGGCAGCAGCAGTAGTACAAGTAGTAGTAGTAGTAGTAGTATTAGTAGTAGTAGTAGTAGCAGTAGTAGTAGTAATAATAATAGTAGGACTCGTAATAGTAGCAGTGTTATTATTAATCGTAGTAGTATTACTCTTACTATAAGTAGTAGTGCTATTACTATTATTATTAGTATTGTTGCTATTATTTAGTCTTAGTAGTAGTAGGAGGCGGAGTAGGAGGAGGAGCCCCCCCCCTAACTAATTGGGCACTACGTTTTACTTACCTTTCTAATGAGGACGACAGGTTGGTGCAGGGGAAGGGGTCTTGGGGGGCAGTTCCGTACAAACAGAATGCATTCCGTAACCAACAGCAACGCAAACGTGAAAACCTCCGAGTTACAGATTTCGGGGGCCTGCGTGGCTGCTGCCTGCACTCATCAACAGGCTAACCACGTTTGATAAGTCCGGGCAGCACACAATATTGTTAACATTACTACTGCTACTAGCCGGCTCCTCGGGGAATTCATAATCAGTTTTAAGTCAAACGTAGTGCCTAGGCCGGGGGCGGTAGTAGGAGTAGCAGCAGTAGTAGCAGCAGCAGTGCGCGCCTGTCGCGTTCGTGACGGTATATTTTTTCAGGATGCGGAGGCCTGAAATACTGTGATTTGCATTAGTTTTGAATAATCGTATCTTGCATTTGCCTTTGTTGATTTTGAGGGTTTTCTGGGCACGATCATTAACTTGTATTTAACAGTTACAACTTGTCCTTGCCCAGCATGTTGCAGGAATAAACTTGTCAACCCGTGGGCGTATGGGAAGACACCGAAGCAAAACCGATACGGTCATGATGCCCTTGATCTTTTTCGCTGAGGTGGGGTGAAAGCGATTTAGGAAATTTGTGTCAACCTGTGGGCGCATGGGAAGACAGCGAAGAAACACCGGCATGCTCATGATGCTCTTGATCTTTTGGGCGGTGGCAGGGTGGAAGCTATTGAGGAATAAACTTGTCAATCCGTGGGCATATGGGAAGACACCAGAAGAAGGCGCTACGTTCATGATGTCCTGTGCTTTGCCCTTGGACTGATGGGGCGTACCTTGGACTAATGCGGCGATGATACACTTAAATCAGCACTCCTCAAACCCTTAGTCTGATGGGGCGTACCTTGGACTAACGAAAACAAGTGAAAATCAGAAAAAGAGGCATTTGCTCAGAAACCGTGCGAAACCCCAGTTTTAAGCAGGTGAAGTGGAGAAAAAACACCGTCATAAACGTAATCGATACGTCGTAGTAGTACTAGTAGTAGTAGTAGTAGTAGTAGTAGGAGGCGTTGTGGTAGTAGTTGTAGAAGTAGTTCTAGTAGTCGTAATCGTGGTGGTTGTAATAGCAGTCCTGGTGGTGGTGGTGGTGGCGGCGGCGGCGGCGGCGGCGGTAGTGGTGGTAGGAGGCCACGGCGACCTAGTTTGCATGCGAATGTAATTGCATTTTGCCAAGTTTTTCAGGGCCGTTACGGACTAGTGCTGGTTGTATGTTTGGCATTTTCGGCGACCTGTTGCCGCCCCGCCGACACAATGAATTTTCCACAGCACACATGCAACATGCCCAAACCACAATCACCTACACATCCCCAAGAGCAAGGCGTGCCCAAGCCATGATAATGTTCATGCTCGAGAGCATGCATTGGCCTTCGCACACATGCCCGAACCATAGTGGCGTTTATTTTCTTTTCCAAAGCACGCATGCCCAAACCAGAATAGCAATCGTGTTTGAGAGCTCAATGTTCCCAGAGCACACATGCCCAAACCATAAGAACGTACCATAAGAACGTTCATGTTCGAGAGCATCCATTTCCCAAGGCATGTATGCCAGTAACAGAATAGCGTGCATGTGCGAGAGCACATGCGCACATGCCCAAACCTTTGCCTGTTCGAGCCGAGAGCATCCCTTTCGGAGAGCACACATTCCCGAACCAAAAGAGGTTTCATGTTCTAAAGCATACGGCTTCCAGACCACGCACGCCCAAACCATGATAACGTTTCATGTTCGAGAGCAGCCATTTGCCAGAGCGCACATGTCCAAACCATTGGAACATTCAGGTTCGAGTGCAGAGTTCGAGGCTTTCCTGCGCTGTGTGTACTTAAAAGGACAGTTTTTGCCGATGGGGCACAAGCGTGGAAGCGAGCAGCGGACCAGCTGGGATTTCAGCTTTCCTGTCCTGATCAGGAGTTCACGTGTGAACGTGATGATGCTGCAAGAAGAGGTTTGAAGTGAGCCCAGAAACCCGTAAAACAAAGTCGTTGCGGAAAAGGTTTTGTGGCCTCCAAAATTACGAGTGCCGTGGCTGCCGGTGTTTTTGACAAGCGATGCGTGCGAAACCCTCAGCCAAAACAAGGCACGGTGATCTAGGAGTAGTAGCAGTAGGTAGTAGCAGCAGCTGTAGTAGCAGTGGCATTAGCATTCGCATTAGCAGTAGCAGCGGCAGTCGCTGTCGTCGTAGTAGTGGGGGGTGGCTGCCGCCGCTGCTGCTGCTTGTGATGGTCCTGGTGCTGATGCTGGTGGTGATGTTGTAGTTGTCTTGGGTCGCTCGAAGCGGCAGTGCTCTTGCTGCTGCCAGCAGCGCCATTTCCGTCAGTGCTGCTTACTTCGGACTTGTTCAAGCATCATTACTAACATCATAAGGCGCCTTG